ATATAAAATTGTACTTTAAAAAGGCCTTTTTTTCCAGAGTCTAAGTTATTTATTTAAGCCATCTCTTGCCACAAGCAAAGGGATGAAAGATCAGTATAATGGTCATCATTTGATACAAGGAAGGAGGGTGAACTTAAGCTCCCACATCTTTTATGCTCCAAATCCAAATCAGAGCTTTGCTCCCTGACACTTGGGTAATAATGGTCCAGGTTCCCTTCATTCATTTATAGCCAGTCAAAAGTGGATTCACATGAAGGCTATAAAACAGAATATGGTTACCATATGGGAAGAGCGAGGTCCTGACACAGAGTTGGGGATAGGCAATGAACTCGGGTCTCTCCTCCTCTCTGTGTGAATTCAGAAAAACATTCAGCATGCTCACTCCTACCCGTCAGTGCCACAAAAAAGGTGACAGCCTTCCACATGTGAGCCTTCCACTCCTCAAAGTGGGCACCACTCAACATAAGCCACTCCACCTGTGGTTGGGACTGGCCCAGCAGTCGAGTCTTGTTAAGTTGCTCAGGCTGGCTTTGAACTCTCAATTCTCCTGTCTCAGCCTCCTGGGTGCAAGGATTATAGGCATGTGTTACTCCACTCAGGTAAATACGAAAAAGGGCTTCAACTTCCTTTAGGGTAAAACTGATGAAGTGTACTATAGTTGGATCAATAACCTCTGTTTCTCAAAACACAACATTAATAAACAGGGACAGAAGGAAATTAAGGCTATAGCCAAATGGGAGTAGCCCAGGGGTGGCCCGGCAACGGGCCTTAGTCCCTGAGCAGAATAGACGGTCCTGAGGTGACAGAGGCAGAAAGGACAGTCCAGGACTCAGATCCAGAGGCAGGTGGAAGAGATGGAGCTCTCTCTGTGCTGGGTCTCACCCTGTCCCAAGTCTTTCTCTATGTCATGGTTTTCAGGACCTCTTTCACCCATGTCCTTCCCGCTCCCTGTAATGGGTAGGAGCTGCCCCCAAAAGCAGAGGCCAGACAAGAGGTTTATACTTACCTGTGGCAAATACAGAACCAGACACTGACACCGCCTGTGACCAGCCTACTGTGTGCCCACTGCAGCCAGCAGGGAACCTGGGCTGGGCCTGAGTGCAGGCTTGGGGCATGGCTGCTCATGGCTCTCCCTCCTCACTCTGCCCCTCTGAAGGTGATACCTTGTGATACCAGCCCCAGCCTCCTGTTCCCCCTTCCACTGGCTCCTGAGAAAGCTCCATTACTCCTGCCACAGAGGGCCAGAAGAGGAGGGGCCAGAGCCTGCTGTGGGCACAGGAGGACCAGGAGGGACACTAGCCTCAACTGGTAGGTTGCCTCTCCACAGAGCTGGATGGCCCTGCCCTCCCGGGAGCAACCCCAGGCCTCCCCACCCTGGAACAGAGGCTCTGAGACACAACCTACCACCCCATCAAGCTCAGTTTAGTGCTTCCCAAAGGGGTCATGAACTGGTGAGGCTGTAGGGCAAGAGGCAGGAAGTGGTTTTTCTCAGAGCATAGCTGGTGGGGTGGGGGCAGCAGGAGGTGCTGAGTCATACCTTCTGCCCCAGGCCCCCCTCCTGCTCCTGGCTGAGTCACTCCTCTCAGGGCCAGGCCCAGTGCCCTCAAGGGCAGTTGAGGACAAATGAGGGAATGAGTTATGGATCAGCTGAGCAAAGGGACTGGCACTGGTGGCCAGTACAGCTTGGGGTGATAGGGAATGGGGGTGAGCCCTGCTGGATTTGGGGGAGAGGAATGGCAGATCCAGATGTAGGTGCGGGAGGCACCAGGTCTTGGGAGGGGAGGGACAAAGGTGGAGGTGGGGGAGCCAGGCACAGGTGGAGGAGAATGGAAACAGACACAGGTAGGGAAAGTGGGGAGAGCCAGACATATGCAGGTAGGCAGGGGGGTCTTAAGAGTCCACAAGCATCGGATCTGCCTCAAAGGCACTACAGAGACCAAGAGGCCTGGCATCTGGAATAAGCCAAGAGGTGACTTGGTAGAGGGCTGTTCTTGTTTTGGCAAAATACATGGTCCCAGGGGATATCTACCACCTCCTGAGCAAAACAAGACAAACCAGGCCTGACCTCTTGGAGAAAACAAGACCTGAACCAAGTTCTTAAGCAATATGTAATGACCACAGTCTGTGGCAGGAGTTGCCGTACAGAGCAAGGTCAGGACATCAGTGGGAACAGCCACATGCTCTCCTGAGAACTGACCATGGTGCAGCAGAGAGGTTGGGCCAGCAAGCAGGACTGAGGGGCCTGGGAAGGACACGAGCCACCCAGGGGGACAAGCTTGACATAGGCAAGGCCTTTGCCAGGTTGTGGGAGGTCAGGGCACAGCCACCTTGCCCTGACTGTGTATATAAGTTCAGCACTGCAGGAAGCCAGAAATCCGCACACCAGTCCTGTGGCAGCTGGACCTCCTCTGGGGCCTCACAGACTGGGATTATAGAAGCTACTGAAGCCAGAAGACAGGGGAAGTTAGGCAAATAGGGCCCAGGTCCTGAATAGTTAACTAAAGTCCAGGCCTAAATGATCTAGCTTACCAAAATGGACTATGAAACACGAGGGACGAAGAATAGATCCTTAAATAAATGAAAGAGACCTTGGAAGAAGTAAAACACACATGAAGCAGTTTGCACTCTGGATGCAGACTTAAAGGCCTACCTACAACCAGGAGTAACCCTGCTTTGTGTCACATACACTGGTACCAAAAACTATATAAAGGCACCCGAACCTGAACTTCCATAGTGTCTGCCTTACACAACACCCCTCTCTAATTATTGGAGAGGTTTTCTTTTATTCTTTCTGATAAACACACATTTAGCCACTCTCTATGGCTTGATGTTCATTGTTTTGTCAGCTTTGATCTTCGTTGCCCTAAAATGAAGATCAAGAGCTAGACAAATCCAGTTACACTATGATGGAACACAAACCAGCCTTTACCACCTGCCTCCTCCCTCCCCAAAGGTTGTGCACCAGATAGATCTCATGTCCCCATCACATATAGCCTCCTTGGCTTGGGATGTCTGGCTCCCCAAGAAAGCCCTCTGCACAGTTAGAGGCCAAAGAGTGCCTCCAAGTTCATCACAGTTAACCAATAAACAATGGACCCAAATAGGGCTTTGTTTTCCACCCTTTCACTGCATGCCCTGCCAAATGCAGGACAAGGCCAGGAAAAGGGATTCCTGAATCACAGACAGTGGACTCAGACAGAATTGTAGGCCTGGCTTCTTCCCTTTTCACTGCCCAAGGAGCCCCAAAGGTGGCACAGGGATCCCTGCTTGAGCCTGGCAGGTGCAGCAGTCCTGAGGTCTGAGCTGGGCAGGGAGGCAGGGCATGTGCCAGGGATCAGCTCAGCCACAGCTCTGCCTGTGGGCCCAGCCCTGGGTCTGCAGGTGGGTGAGTCCAAGCCTAGCTGGAGGAGTCTCTGGGCAGTTGGGTAGAGAGGGGATCAAGGGAGCCCAGGGTGCAGTGCACCAGTATCTCTGAGGCCTTCAACCAAGCATTCATCCCTCCCAGATGATCCCGAGAACCTTCTACACACCAGGCTCTGCTCAAGGTGTGGGGAAACCATAGGACGAGCCAGCAGACCTTTCTGTATGAAACCACTATGATGCCTGTAGGGTTAGCTTCCTTCTCAGTAGCTCCCTTTAGCATCACAGACTCCACAGCTGACCACAACATCCTGCCTCTGGTCATGCTGACTCGCTGCAATGCCCATTCTCTCCAGAGGCCTCATCAACGTGTCTTCTGCACATGAGGATTCTAGGACACACTTCATTGTCCATGGCAGTGTTCAAACCACAGCATGTTGATTCAGGGGAACTTTAACCCCCTGTGTACTGCTGGTTCATCTAGAGTCCAGCTGTTTTCTCTTCAAAGGAGACCCCGGAGGAGAAAGATGAGGACTCAAGGAAGCAGGGCCTGCTTTCAGACTGCTCCAAGGATAGCCCTGGATGCCCACCAGTGGGGTCAGATTAAAGGGCAAACATGCATGCAGGCTTTGCTAAGGGCTCTTGTCCTCACTTACGATCAGTAAATCCTCATGGATCACTGGCTGCTGAGGCAGGTCCCAGGCTGTGGCCACTCACCTATGGCCACCAGACTGACCCAGTAGTGGAGGTTAATTCACTTGGTTATGGAAAAGATGTAAATTCCAACCCCACCTGCTGGAGTACAGCAGCTCAGTCTGTTTCCCTATAAACCGGGCACTGGGAGGGTCTGTACAAAGGTGCACCATGAAGGGGTCTTCTCAGCATACACTCACCCCTCAGAGAGGAACCCCACAGACCTCACATTCCCTTACATGTCTTTCTTGATGGGGTCCTTCTCTGAAAAGACCTTCCAAAGCTCCCCTCCTCCAGCTATGCGCTCCTGAGGGCCCAGGCTCAGTACCTAACTCAGCTACCCATACCATGTTCAACAAATACAAGTGACCCCATGAAGTCCCTGAGGGTCAAGGCTCTGCACAATTAGAGACTGAGACCTCTCCTGGGTGCTAGGACACCTAGTCCTTAATCTGAGCCCACTCCTTCGACAGCCGGCCCTCCAGAGGTCAGTGCTATGTTACTGATGGCCAGGTCCCAGCCCGATAGATGAAAGTTAGGGCACCCTGGTAGGGCCAGGCAAAGCGCTGGTTCTGGGGAAATGGAGGGCAGGCAGTGTGCACTTGGTGACGGAGAATGAGGCCTATCTAGAAGCCAGGAGTAAGTTCTAGGAGATTCATCAGTGTAAGGGGAGATGCGATGCGAGGGGAGCAGGCCTGAGGACCTGGGTCTGAGCAGAGCAGAGACAAGTAGGGAGGTGGCCTCAGAGTCACTACCCACTCTCAAGCAATGAGCGCGTTCAGGTTGTGGTAGACACCAGGAAACTACTACATTTTAGGACTCTGCAGGCACTGGCCAATTCAACTCTCCCTACCGCCGGGAGGGGCGGGGCGCTATGGCCCACGATGCGCATGCGCCGGAGGAGGTGCCCCGGACGCGGCAAGGATCGCTCCGCCCCGTTCCCGCCCTCAACTCCGCTGTCCCTGACTCACGTGACGTGCCCGGGGCAAACAAGCCGGTCAGCTGATCCGCCCCGACTGCGCAGTCATCCCGGCTATAAGCGCGCGACCTGAACCCGGCGTTCGGCTCGCACCTGGCCGCCGCCACCATGCTGCCCCCTATTCTCATGCTGCTCGCCCTGGGCCTGCTGCCCTTTTCCACCACCGCGCTCATCAGGTGAGGCACCCCTGCGGCTTCTGCGACACTAGCCGGCCAACCCCTCCCCTCCCCCAGTGCTGGCATGCAGACACCTGTGTCCTGCGCGACCTCAGGGGCTCTTGAGCTTGGAGTGTAGGGTTCTACCCTCCACCTCTACCACTGGGAGGAGTCTGGCCTTGAGGGCCAGGAGAGGGCAGGAGACCTTGGCTAGGCCTCGAGCGTGATCCCAGGTTGCCAGGTCAGTGCGCATGAAGAATAGGAAGACTACAGTGTCTGTACTGAGGGCCCAAGGAGGATCAGGACACAGAGGAGTAGGCCTTGGAGCCTCCTGAATGCAAGCAAAACATTTTTCCACTTGGCGACAATGTTTGCTAGCTGTGAACTGGAGTGTCATCCTCCAGTTTTTTAATTGCATCTTTCCATAACCCCGAGGGAAGAGGTCCCTGAATACCTTAAGAGTCCCACAAGTCCCAGAGAAAAGGGGAAGGCTCAAGGTGGATCAGGCCCTCCTCAGCTGTAGAGATCTGCCCCTTGGGCTAGGTGGGCCTTTGCTGGAGACATCTGCTGCCTTTCACTTGCTGGGCTCTGTGCCTATAGCAGGTGGGTGGGTGAGGTCATAGGGCTGCCAGGACCTGGGAGCTTACTGGGCGGGCTGGGGGCAAGGAGCTGGGTAGGACTAAGCTTTGTCAAAGGCTGTGGGCTGCAGCCTGGAGGCGGGTAGCCTCAATTGGAGCCATTAAAGAGTGCAGCCACAGGTCTGGGCGTGCTCGTGTGTGCCCTGTTCCACCCTTAGGCCTCCCCTCCAGGGAGGGCAGAGATAGCTGTGAGAAGGGAGACCCGCCTGCTTCATCCTGGTAGGGCAGAAGGGTCAAAGCCCTTCCCACCTAGTCCTGGGTCTCACTGTACTGATGGCATGTGTATCCCAGATCCTTGGAAAGTGTGCTCCCCCAAAGCCAGAAGTTGGCTGTTTTCAGCCCCTGACCCTTAAAGCAAGAATCCTATCCTAGAGCTTGTCCTTGGCTTGCTAGGGAAAGCTATCTCTGACCTTGGGCTCAAATGGAGGGTGGGGATGGTTCACCCACCCACAAGCTCAGAGGAGCTATAATCTCTGCCGGAAGCTCAGACCAAGGAGGCTAGCAACACTAAGGTGTGGGGCAGGGAATCCTCACTCCACTCTATGATGGTAGAGTCCAATGTTTATGAGATTAATGAACCAGCCCCCCTCTGCACAGATCAGACCCCTAAAGCCACCTGAGTCAGGCCTCGGAAGGATTGCTTTGAGCCAGAGTCCCAGGGGCCCCATGGAGGACTCTCAGAAGCCTCTGACACCCTGGGGCAGTTGTTAAACTCTCAGGATGTGGTTGTGAGACACATAGATGGAGGCCTACAGGGCACCCACCTCAGTGTGGAGCCCAGTTGGAGAACAGTTCTTGCCAGAGGACCAGGGACAGGAGATGGCACAAAGGGCCTCAGGTGGAAGTGACAGGTACCTGGCAACACCTTCACCAAACTCAAGTGGTCACCATTTTGGATGAGACTAGAATTGCACAAAGATTGGAGACCAGCAGGGGTTCCTATGGGGCATCTGGAATGACTGAGGGTGGCTGGGGAGCAGCAGAGGTAGACACACAAGCCTCCACCTTTAGATGTGGGATACAAGAGCAGTAAACTGGATCAGAGTCCCTGTAGGGTGCAGGACCTTCCAGAACTTTGGTCTGAGCCACCTGGGATGGTGATGGGTTGCTGTTTGGTGGTTTGAGGGCCATTGGACCTGCAGATTTTGTTTAGGTCAGGAGTTTGGTTTAAGCCATGCAGAGTTTGAGATTTCCAGGGACATCCAGGTGGACCTACCCCAGAGGTAGCTGGCGGACATCTGGTTGTCATCAGGTGGTCTCAGCATGCTAGAGGGCTACCCTCACTATCCCTAGGGTGGGAGATGAAGGGGGAATCCGGGTCCCTCTCTGATGTGCCCTGCCCCATCTTGACAGAATTCCCCTGCACAAGTTCAAGTCCATTCGCCACACCATGACGGAGGCAGGGGGCTCCGTGGAAAACCTGATTGCCCGAGATCCCTTGACAAAGTACTCACCACAGTTGTCCACCAAGGCCACTGGCCCTGTTCCTGAGCCACTGAGTAACTACATGGATGTGAGTTTGGGGCACGGGTACACTGAAGGGTGAGTTTGGGGTACCTGCCATACAAACCAGAAGGTGAAAACTGCCTTCTTACTCTGCAGTCAGGAAATTGGCTGGTACATCTGTTTGGTGTCGCTGTGCTTGGCCACTTCTTCCCTCCTCAACCCCACTCATCTGCCTGCCTTCTGGGATCCCCCTGCTGGGACTGACACGGCAGGTTAGGGGTTGGTCTTGGCACCTTGGGAATGATTTTACTGTGTGTCCTTCTGAGCACTGACCACCAGCTCAGAGGTATAGCAATGTCTAATCCTCAGGACTATGGGGCACAGAGGAGCCTCAGATCAATCTCAGCCCTGCCCTGATCCTGCCCCAGATGCTGTGGTATGGAACCTGGGCCTTGTGTCTGCCTGGGTGTGACTAGAGCTCTGTTTTCTGCCTGTCTTGTGGGAGGCCTAGGGTGACACTGTACACTCCTGTCCCCTCACCATCTGTCAGTCCACTATTCCTGTGCCCCCTGTCTGTGAGATGCAAATAGGCTCCAGGTTAGAATGTTTTGGGAGCCATGTAGCAGACTGGACCTAGCCAGCCTGACCCAACTGTAGGGGCAGATTCTGGGCCAAACACTGGAATCTCTCCAGTAGCCTACGACGCTGTTTCCAAATGAGTCTCAAAAGCCCTTGGCACTGTCTAGTACGAGCTTTGTGGCTACCCTGGCAGGGAGGTGACTATGCCCTCTCTCCTGTTTGGGCAGAGCCCTGACTCTGACAAGAAGCTTGAGTGCAGCATGTGACTCTGGAGAAGGTGGGGGCCACCTCTCCTGGAGGCTACTGGTCAGTCTGAATCCCCCCAGAGCACATGCATGCACATATGCGCGTGCACACACGCAGCAGTATGCTGAGTCACACATACAGAGCCACTGCTTCAAGAGGCCAAGAGATTGGAACCCAAGGTCATGTGTGGACAGTTCTCCCCTCTCAGGAAACAGGCTGGCGAGGCAAGCAGGATCCAGCTGACCCCAGACTATAGGAATTGAGGCCACCAGAATCAGGTGTGGCCTAAGGAAGAAATGTCCCCCTTTGTGGACTTTAGGTCCCTAGGCAGTGGCAAGGTCTACCAGGCCAGCCATTGTAGCACTTGGGCCCAGCTCAAGGGCCAGGCCTGACCTCTGGCCTCATTTTCTGAATAGTGTGGTCCTTGCCTGGCCCTGCCTTGCATCAGGTTAGGGGCTGCTGTTGAGGGGAGACCATGAGTACCTGTGAGCCTGAGACCTGCGTTGTGGGGCTGAAGCTTGTTTCTTGGGACCCTCACTCCCCACTTGTACAAACCCCTGCCAAGCACAGCAGATAAAAGTGGATTCCAGGGCCCTTCTTCCTGCAACCTGGGAGTCAGGGGTCCTCTCAGGCCTAGCAGAGAGCTAGGATGCTTCTCCTCACCCTGATGCATACTGCCTCTACCAGGCTCAGTACTACGGGGAGATCGGCATTGGAACCCCGCCACAGTGCTTCACAGTCGTCTTCGACACGGGCTCCTCCAACCTGTGGGTCCCCTCTGCCAAATGTAAAATGCTCGACATAGCCTGCTGTGAGTCTTCCCTGTCACCTTCTGCCCCTAATTCTTCCCTGGCCCCCCAAGGGGAAACCAAGGGCCCTCTCCCCTTCCAGATGCCCACTTGTACACTGTCCTGCCTGCCCTGTGTCCTCATCCATACCCAGGAACCTATGGTCAGGGAGACAGAAGTCCTGCTTGGGGGGCTTAAGTAGCCATGTCCACTCCACTTTTTAGAACACTTGCTTTCCTTCCGGAAGTCCAGCCTTTCTGGTGTACAGTGGCAAGGCCATCAGGGAGATGGGGCAGGCCTGGGACCTATAGGTGTCTCTGCCTTGGGAAGCCTCTTGGGCAATGTGTGGCTGGCTTCTCAACCACATCAGACAGGCTGGCTCTTCTGACCTGCCCCAGGGCACCCTATTTTGGGTGAACTTGTTTGTGCTGGCCTTGCTGCCCAGCAGGGCTGAGGACTCAGTTGGTGCAGTCCCAAGTGAGCTATGAGCTGGACCACCTGTGGATACAAGAGCAGGACTAGGGTATCAGCCCACAGTCAGGGGATCTCTGGCATAGTGGGCCAAGGCCCCTTTGGGGGTTGGGGTGGTCCATGGTGGAGTGGATGACAGGCTGATGATGTCCCCTCTCACCTTTCGCAGGGTTCCACCATAAGTACCATGGTGACAAGTCTAGCACCTATGTGAAGAACGGTACATCTTTCGACATCCACTATGGCTCGGGCAGCCTTTCTGGGTACCTGAGCCAGGACACTGTGTCGGTGAGTCTCCAGGGCCTTTCCTGAGTCTGGTGATGTCAGCTGTGGCTGAGGACTCACCTTCTGTGTACCTGGGGCTGAAGGAAAGGGCATAGTGGGCTCAGGCCAACCCCACCTCTGAGGGGTGAATTTGGGGCTACTGAGTTTGGAAACCAGTAGCAGGGAGGGCCTAGGGGCAGATCTGCTAGGCAGAAGGTTCCGTCTGAGTGGAGACTGGGACAGGAAGGGCTCCAGTGCTCTGTGGGGAAGGCAGGTGGGGATCCTGTGATGTGTAGACCAGAGGGCAGCAAGGAGCCCCTAGGATGGAAGAGCCTGGGTTCCCCGGGAGTCAGGTTAGCTGAGCAGAGGGACAGTACTGGGGCAGCAAGGATGGCCACACCTTGGTGACACAGCAGCACCCATGGGAAGGTGATGTGAGTCAGACTCCCTCTCTGTGGTGTAGTGTGCAGGGTTGGCCTGACTGGGAGGGTAGGATTTTGTTCTGAATGTGTTGGGTTGAAAGAGCCAGCAAGGTGTCTAGGGCCAGGCCTGAGGGGGCCTGGGAAGGGAGTGGGTGTTTGCACCTGCCTGAGGGATTGAATGGGGTAAAATGTGCCAGAAAGCCAGAGGAGAGTTGTCTAGGGAAAAATTCTAGGGAGATGGGTAGAAAAGGACACCATGGGGGCAGCCATCAGGTCTCTTGTGGATGGATGGAGGGTCTTACAAGGAGAGGCTGAGAGACAGTAGACTACCTCTGAGTCAGACTTGGGCGTGACCACATGCGGGTAGGGGGCAGATGTGTTAACCGGGCCTATCTGTAGCATCTCCTTAGGGTTTTCTTTTCTGTGGGCCCCCAACTGAACAGGATGTTGCCCAACCCACTCCCTCTTTTGTCAGCCCCACATAGCCATCCCACATCCTGCTCTGCAGCCTCAGCAGTGTGAGTGCTGTCAGGTTTCCTAGCCTCTTGAGCTAAAGGCCCAGGGTCAGCAACTTATCCCCAGACTCTGTGGTAGAAGTGAGACTGGCCTGGCAGGCAGAGGTCAGAGGATACCACCTAACCTCACATCACATCCTCGTCCCCTGCTGTATTTGACTGAATTCAGCCCTTTGGCTCATAGTTTCTCTGCCTGCTTGTCCTGGGTGAATAGGCTTCCCAGCTGGGGCCACTGGTGCACAAGGTGAATATTCACACACAATCAGCGTACATAACCTACCAACCCCTGCCCTGACCCACAGGTGCCCTGTAAATCATCCAACTCCAGTGTCAAAGTCAGTAAGCAGACCTTTGGAGAGGCCACCAAGCAACCAGGTATCGTCTTTGTTGCGGCCAAGTTTGATGGCATCCTGGGCTTGGCTTATCCCCGCATCTCTGTCAACAACGTGCTGCCGGTCTTTGACAACCTGATGGAACAGAAGCTGGTAGAAAAGAACATCTTCTCCTTCTACCTTAACAGGTGGGTTGGGAGACACAGTGGGCAATTTCCCATTCCGTGCTTCTCCCCCAACTCTCCTGGGCTCAGCTTTGCTGAAACTCAGGTTGGGACTTGGAGCCTGTGCCCACCTTCCAGACATGTGGCCTCAGCCCCAGATCTCTGGCCTACCTTGGGGAGGTCTGAATGAACCACCTTCTTGTGGATAAGCAGGCAGCCTCATGAGAAAAGTGTCATGTCAGGATCCACAGCTGGGAAGTACTTGGGCAGGGTCCTGGCGGCTGTGGCCTCTCTTCCCAGGGGAGTATACCTGGTTAAGGTTATGACAGTTCCTTGAGGCTCAGTCTGCCTCAAGCTTTCAGTAGGGAGGACAGATGGCGTCTTGGCTGCTGATGGCCCAGGGGGGACACAGCTGTGAGTTCTGATCCATGGTGGGCCTCCCAGGAAGGTGGCCCTAGGTTGGCTTCGAGAGGCAGATGTTGGCACACACTCAGAATCGCGGTCTCCATGTGGAAGGAAAGCAGATGTGGCCTAAAGGGAACCCTGGAGACCTTCTTGCCAGTGAGATAGGAGGTCCACTCACTGCCCAGCATGGAGACCCCTGGTCGGTAGACCTTGCAAGGGCCCTCAGTTCTCTCTTTACCCTGGTGCTGTGGGTCCTGGGCAGGAGCTGCAGGCAGGGGGAGGTGACTGAGCATCAGATACGGTACTGCCTGGGATCTGTCTTCCGGGCAAACAGGGTGTCAGTAGGTGGGTCCTAGCCCAAGGTATTGCCATTCACTGTGCTTCATACACCCTTTCCATTTCTTGTGTCCGTTTGACTCTCGGGTCTCTGGATGTGGACCCTAATCCTAAGCCCTAAGGCCCTAAGGCCCTTCTCACAGAATTCCTATCCAAAGCCTTTCACTATAGCTAAACCCTGTCTGTCCGTACGCTTGGCTCAGTGTCTATTCCTTTTCTCTCTTGCTGGGTCCATGATTGCTTCTTAGCAACAGGACTCTAGACAGAACTGCTGGCTGGAGCCTGGGGTGCAGGTGAGGAACTGGAATCATTTCCCTGGGTCACCCATAGGTACAGAGGAGAAGGGAAGATAAAAGACAGTTGCCTCCCGCCAGGGTAAGAGAGGCCCAGGAGCTTGGCACCCAGGCTAAGACCCACCTCTGTGACTGCCCCAGGCAGGGTCTAGAGCCCTGACTGCTTACTGGGCGGGGGTGGGAGTGAAGTCAGCAGGGGGAGGGACCCAGAACTGAGAAGAGCAGGCTTGTGGGTGGAAGAAAGGAGGGACAAGGTGCCCGTCAGGTTTTTCTACACCTGTAATTTCAGAAGTGATGACAGGAGGCCAAGGTTGGAGGCAGGAGAAGCCTGCCCAGGTGGGAGGACAGGGCTTTCGGGTACAGGCACCAGCCAGGAGAAGGGTGGCAAGTACAGTCAGGGACACCCCAAGAAGACAGCAGAGAACTCTGAGAGCGCTTCTCCTAGATTCACTGCATGCTAAGGCTCAGATTTTCCCATTGTTTTTTGTTGTTGTTGTTGTTGTTTTTTAATTTTCAGCATTATGGCTACAGACCACAGAAAGCCGGAAGCAAGTAGCCCACATTCCAGTCAAGGGCACCTTGGCTAGCTGTGAATAGGCCTCTGTGTAAGAGGCTAGAGGTGGGAGGTGAGAGAAACAGATTGAGAAGAGCTCACAAGGGTGTAGGTATAGGTGGTTTCTGGAACAACAAGTACAAAAGCCCTCGAGCAGGAACAGGCCACCTCCTCAGTTTCTCAGAGTTGTGCCCATCTTTGCCTTCCCCTTGAAGTTTTCCTTGATTTTTTTTTCCCCCTGGGCTGAAAAGAGTCCCCCCACTTCCTGGCCTCCTGACATTTCCCTCTCGGCACCGCTGCCTTGATCTGATCACTCATGCTAAGCTTCGGGTGCTCAGAGTTCCAGCCAGCGCTCTCTTGCTGTGAACAGGAAGGAGGAGGGTGCAGCTTTCTCTCTTTGGGTCTTCCTCCTTCCAGAAGCCTCCTGCCTCCCTCTCCTGGTCCACCCAGTCCTCTGGCACCTGTTTAGCAGCCGCCTGTCCTGGGGTGAGAGTTGCTGACTTCCTCTGCCTTTTCCTCCAGGGACCCGACTGCGCAACCCGGCGGGGAGTTGGTGCTGGGCGGCATTGACAGCAAGTACTACAAGGGTTCCTTCACCTACCTGAATGTCACCCGCAAGGCCTACTGGCAGGTCCACATGGACCAGTGAGTCGGGATTCCTCTGGGGCAGGGGTGGCCTTTGGGGTTGAGCAGAATCTATAGCTGAGGCCAGGCCATTACCCTACAGCTCCTGTCACCCCAAGTTCCTCTCTGCCCTGAGGCCCAGTGCAGGAACTCATGTCCTCCACCCCTAGGTTGCAAGTGGGCAGTGAGCTGACTTTGTGCAAGGGGGGCTGTGAGGCCATCGTGGACACAGGCACCTCCCTCCTCGTGGGCCCTGTGGATGAAGTGAAGGAGCTGCAGAAGGCCATCGGGGCCTTGCCGCTGATCCAGGGTGAGGTAAGAGCAGCTGCAGGGCTGGTGGACCAGTGAGCAGCAGAGTGTAGGGGCTGCACCCCGACACTCCTCTCTTCCTGCAGTATATGATCCCCTGTGAGAAGGTGTCCAGCCTGCCCTCAGTTACCCTGAAGCTTGGAGGCACTGACTACACCCTTGCCTCAGAGGACTACGTTCTCAAGGTAAGTAAGTGGGTATGGACAGAGTGCTTCAGGGTGGACACTGGGTGGACAGGCCCCATGATGACCACCATAATCTTGCAGGTATCACAAGCCGGGAAGACCATCTGTCTGAGTGGCTTCATGGGCATGGACATCCCCCCGCCCAGCGGTCCTCTCTGGATCCTGGGTGACGTCTTTATTGGCCGCTACTACACCGTCTTCGACCGAGACAACAACAGGGTGGGCTTCGCCCAGTCTGCCAAGCTCTAGGTCACTTCTGTCCAGTGGTGGAGAAATGGCCTGGAGTCCAGTAGGAGGCTGCCCAGCCCTCCAGCCCTCCAGCCCCTTCCCCACTCACACTTGCACACTTATACACTCACCATGTGGCTCTGGAAGCTCTGGGCCGGTCACTGTTCTTGTGGTTTTTCTCTCCCTGGACTCAGAAACACTGCCAGTCTGTTTGAGAATGGTAGAGACCAGTCCAGTGCATGGATCCGTTTCGCTTACTTGGAAGACCCAGCATGGGCTTGGTGGTTTCCCAGGTTGCATCCCAGGAGACCCTGCCTTGCAACAGACTATTCTCCCCAGGAAACCGGCTCACCTGAGGTCCCTCTGCCCTCACCAGGTTGTGCACCCACCCTCACCCCAGCCACTGCAGAGGCCTGAAGGGTCAGAAGGAGCATGTGGACTAAAACTGGCATAGGGGGCTGCAGGGTCATTCTGTGGTTTCATCCATCTGCAATGCGTACATTGGCCTGGGTGGGGGCAGAATGATTGGGGGCTGGCATAGAGCTTCCTGTCCTCTCTGGCTGACGTTTGCTCCCTTTCCCCTGGGGGACTGAGAGCCACTGTGATGTGAAAATACAGTTGTTTGGGCCTCTGTTTGTGTGTCCATGTTCTTTGTGCCGATTGGGAAAGTTAACTCAGGGCTGAGCAAGGGAGGCCCCTGGTGTGCCCAGGCCTGACTCTCTGACATTGGCCATCTTGCTTAGGCCCCACAATTGTGACTTTCTGTTCAGTCTTGTGCCAATATACAGCTGCCAAGGACTGGCTTGTTCTGAGTCATAGAACAGTGACCAGTGGATGTGACCTGAAGCTGGGGGATGGGGCCTGGCACATAGGTTCTGATGTGAGCCCTACATAAGGCCCAAAGGACACAGGAAGGTGTGATCCAGGCAGGTATCTGCAATGCTTTTCCAGACAGTAGTCCTGCCCTGAAGAAACAGAACAGGACCAGGACACCAGTGGGACCATGAGCATTGCTCCACACCCACCTTAGGCCCAAGGAAGAGGACTTTGCATGGTCTGGGTAGTGTGGGCAACCTGCTTCTAACTGGGCTGCTTTCCCCAGCTCTGGAAGCAGCCTGGACCTGTGTGAACCAAGCCAGTACTGGAGTAGATCTGTCTGGGACCAGAGTCAGGACCCCCAGGTTGCAGCTGTTACAGATAGAAATGCAGGCTGGTTACCAAGTAGTCTTGTTAGAAGCAAAAATATAAGTACATGCTGCAGAGGCAGCCGCTAACAGGTTTTTAAGAGCTGAGTAGGAGTCAGTGAACACAGTGGCAGGGCCAGATTCCCTTTAGGATCAGTGGCTCTGGAGTCTTGCTTGGGATCTCAACCCCAGCAGGTATACGAGACTGGGGGTGAGTGTGATGTTTGTCATCCTGTCATTCTGGCTCCTTCTCAGCCTGCTGGATGGTGATGGTTACTGGTTTCCTAGTTTGGGGCTTAGGCCTGCACCCAAGCATCAAACCTCAGCAGGCACCTTCTCTGCAGAACATTCTCCCAGAGCTGCCAGGAGGCCAGGGTACATGTGGTCAGTGTTCTCTGCACCTGAAATATGAGCAGGGAGCTGGAGAGAGCTCCGCAGGGCCTGGCAGGGTTTCTGGAGACAAGTGTCATCAGGCACTTTGTGCACCAAGGCTGGAAAGCAGCTCCTCCCCTCTTCTGCTGGCCTGAGGCTGCTGTCCACTCCTCTCCCTCCTGAGCTGCCCGTGTTTGCTCAAGCCCACAGCTCAGCTGCCCAGCAGCTATTTAGTCAGCCAGTTAGGATTCTTAGGACCCTGGAGTCTGACTTCAGGTTCAAATCCAGCCTCAGAGGTTTTCTGGCTAGATGACCCACCCCAAGACTCCCTGGCTTCAGGGAGTAACAGGCCTCACTGTATGGCTGGCTGTGGGGGCCCTGGAAGTGTCTAAACAATGGCCCCTCTGCACCACCTGGCTCCCTCAGGGTGGGAGATTCCTGGCCTGGAGAATCTGTAGGAGGTGTCTACCCAAGGTCAGCCCTTCACCCACCATATCAGAGTGAGGACTGCTGAGGCCTTGGAGATAATCCCCCAAGGTGAGGTGCAGGGAGAGGGCTTGACTGCCCTTGTCAATGACCTTGATCAGCCCTGCTCTGAGGCCCAGGCATCTCTTGCTGCCTGAGATGTGCAGACTTGGCTACCCTGGCTATTCTGCTAGTGCCCAGGGTAGCACCAGACAGGGTCTCAAAGGGGTGCCTGCCCTGAGGAGTCAGAATGGCATAACAGCCACACGAAGAGGTTGGGCCCAGTCTTCAGCACATCTGGATGCTGGGTCTGAGTTCCGTAGGGCCAGGCCCTTGAGAAAGGGGAGGTAGACTTAGGTAAACACAAACAGTCTGGTTCCATACCAGGCTCTGGTTCTCTGCCAGAGACCCATCTACCTGTGGGCCCATCTACATATGGGCCTCTGGGCCCATGCACTAAAGCTGAGCTTCATGAAGGGAGCAGCCTGGACTTCCAAAAAGGGAGGGAGGGCTCTTTGAGTTTGGGAATTCTTCATATACAGGGTGTTATCAACATCATTTAGGGGCTCAGCAGCATAAGTGCCTGCCTTGCAAGCGTGTGGTCGTGAGTTCAATCCCCGGTACCGATTAAAAAAAGATTTAAAAAACATCATTTAAGATCACTTCAAGCTGTGGGTTTCCTACAGGCCAGGTGGAGGCTGAGCCAGGGGGTCAGCCTGGGAGAGGAGGCGGGGCCTGCACCAACAAGGGAGGGACTTTTGAGGGGGTGTGGCTTCTCCTGCTACAAGGGTTCTGAAAAGGACTCTGGGCTTAGAGAGCCCAGAAGTTCCAGAGAGAAAGGGTTCAGAGAGGCAGGGCCCGGTGAGCACTAACTTGGGAATGAGTTCCTGAGAGGTTGAGGGAATGAGGGAGTGTCTTGGAGAGGCTGGAGGCAAAACACTAGGGCTCCAGAAAACGGCTTCATAGGAGGAAGGATGGGGCCTTGGACAGGAGGACAGACTGGAGAGGGAGAAGGGCACAAGTATAGTTTCAGGGGACTTAGGAGAAGGTCTGGGCCCAGTAAGGCCACCAAACCGGTGAAGAGAACCCAGCTCAGAGTTGGCAACTGTATGGTATACAGGGGACATCAAGGGAGGGAGAGCTCGGGTTCTTTCCAAGCAGAGGGGGTCCATTACAACTTTTCTGCTGGGAGATCAATTGAGAGAGAATAAGTATTGGAGAGAGTATGAGAGTGTGTGTGTATGTGTGTGTGCGTGTGTGTGTGTGTGTGTGTGTGTGTGTGTGTGTGTGTGTGTTGGGGAGTGTCCAGTGGAGAGAGTGGCACTGTTTAGGGGAAGTGAGGTGTGGTACAGCACCCTCAGGATGGGGCCCAAATGGGATGGAGGCTCACGGAGAGGCCCTGGCAAGTGCATGAACTGGGCTTCAAGGTTACCAGTGTTGGAGGTCGCAGTAAGAGACCAGGGGCCAAGGCTTTGGAGCAGGACACTGGCGCTGAGAGAGTAGTCTATGCACTTATGCAGGGACAACTGACTCGTGAAGGGCCACAGGATCCAGCACCCACTTTTTGAATGAATTGGATTAGAGAGAGTAGGCTAGGTAGAGATGAGACTCAGGCAGGTGGGTGGGAGCTCCAGCGAAGGTCCTGGACTTGGTAGGCTCAGCAAGGAAGGGGTTGGAGAGTGGCCTTAGGTTCTGGGGACTTGTAGGGACAGGACTGCAAAAATGGATGGTTGGGTGGAGGTTTGGTGATGTACACACCACTCTGGAACTGTGATGCAAGTGTTTGGGAACTTTGAGAGACCAGAGACTTTAGAGAAGGGCTTGGTCAGAGACAGGGACATGAGCTGAGCTAGAGGACAAGCTTGGCCAGGAGCAGGGTCAAGACAGGACAGAGAGGAGGAAGTCTCAGGGGGCCCCAATAGGGTCTTTGTAAGGCTCAGACTGCCCCAGGACTGGGAAGTGAGGGGCTCCATGGACTAGGGGGAGGAAGGAGGTGATTGTGGTTTCCATTGCACCAGGACTGAGATCTCACCACCTGGGGCACGAACTCTGCCAGAGGGAAGAAATGGCAGGTGGGCTTAACAGGCCCAGAGGTGGCGAGGTGGGTGGGGGCTCTGAAGACAGCAGCTCCTGGGAAGAGAGAAGAGCAGGAGTAAGGGGCATCTCTCCTGAGGAGAGAGGTGAGGACTGCCCCAGACCCTCTTCAACAGCGACAGGGGACTCCAAGGAAGAGTGGCAGTAGGGTGGGCCCGGATGACAAGCTTGGTGGTCTGGGATGATGGAGGCGGTGTGGCGCTGGATCCCATGGTCCCATGCCTGTCCGGCCTGCCATTCCCTGGGGTCGCGGCTTCCGGCCGGCCTGAGGCCCCCGCCTCCCGGCGGAGGAGGCGGAGGTGTCTGCGCCGCCGCCGCCACCACCGCCACCACCGCCTCTGTGAGTCAGGCTCTGGCTGCAGCCGCGGCCGGGCTGGCGCTGCGGAGCGGCGCGGGCAACGGGGGAGGCAGCGGCGTGGAGAGCACCGCGCGCTCCCCGCCTCCAAGGTTGGGCCACCGGGACGCGCCTCGGTGGACAGATAGCGGCCCGGGACGGTGGAAGGACGCGCGCACAGAGGCGCAGGGGTCTGGCTGCCCACGGCAGTCTCCAGTAGGTGAGGACGCACTGTCCCGGTGGCTGCAGCGGCCCTGGGGCGGGGGGGGGGGGGGCGGGCGGCGGAGCCTGGTGCAGACCCCCGTGTGCCGCACGCGGAGTGGCGCGGAAGGCGAGCGCCTGGGTGCCTCTTTGGAGAAGTGTTCGTTTCGGAGTCGTGCGTCCGTTTGTGGCAAGGGGGCTTCGTGTGTGGGAGTGCACGCTTGGGGTCCCAGAGACCAGTTTCAGCTGAGGTGGGGGTTGGGGGCGATGAGTGCGAGTTTGGTGCCTGGCACTTGTGTTTATCCTCCCTCTGGCGACTGTCTGAGCCTGCGTCGCTGTCCGTGTCCAGTGCGTAGCACAGTGGACAGTTGTTTACCTGGCGATGTCAGCCAGGGTGTGCCGGGGTTGGGGAGCCTGTCTGATGGTGCTGGTTGTTTGCTGTCTGTTTGTCTGTCTGTCTGTCTGTCTGTGGGCAGGGGCTTCAAAAGCTGCCTGTTCTGCCAGGCAGCGCCTGAGGCTTGCATTGTAGGTCTGTGTGCTGGGATGTTTGGGGTTCCGGGGACCTCTATGTATGGCAACAGTGTGTCTGTGGGAGTGCTGTTGGGGGTGCATTTGAGGTGCTGTTGTGTGTGTGTCAGTGGGTGTTTGTGCGCAGATGGCAAAGTGATGAAAAGCCGAGATGCGCCTGCCAAGGCTGCTGCGGAGGGCTTTGGCATCAGCAGTGGCCAGTGGGTGGGGGAGGCAGGTGGCAGACAGCAGCTGGCTGCCTCTCAGGGATCTTCATCTCCACTAGGGGCTCTGAATGGGGCCGCAGAGGGGGATGCAGCAGCCTTGAGGCTGAGCACTGAGAGGCAGGTAGGGCCTGACTTCCTATTCTCTTCCCTTCTCCAGGCCCAGGGCCACGGCCAGTGCCCAGCCCTGCTGGGAGCCCCGGCCAGCACCACGGACGGCGCCCAGGAAGCCCGTGTCCCCCTGGACGGGGCCTTCTGGATCCCGAGGCCCCCAGCAGGTTCACCCAAGGGCTGTTTTGCCTGTGTGTCCAAGCCCCCCGCTTTGCAGGCTCCAGCGGCCCCTGCCCCTGAGGCCTCGGCCTCACCTCCCATGGCTCCCACTCTGTTCCCCATGGAATCCAAGAGCAGCAAGACCGACAGTGTGCGGGCGACCGGTGCCCCTCAGGCTTGCAAGCACTTAGCCGAAAAGAAGACCATGACAAACCCCACAACAGTCATCGAGGTCTACCCGGACACCACCGAGGTGAACGACTACTACCTGTGGTCCATCTTCAACTTCGTCTACCTCAACTTCTGCTGCCTGGGCTTTATCGCATTGGCCTACTCCCTCAAAGTGAGCATGGCGGCAGGGATGGGGGTGGTGGGGAAGGCACTAGCAGGGTGAGCCCTGACTGTGTTGTTCTGGCCCTCCCTTCCCAGAGGAGCCTCTGAGCAGAACAGATACAGTCAAGGGGCAGGGGATCTGACAACCGCAAGGGGCCATGCTGGTGGGTGCGGAGATGAGTGTTGGCTAGGTCTGAGCCGGCAGCAAGAAGCTGAACTGAAAAAAGATCTTGATGGAGCTTGGGTTCATTGGGACCAGCTCGGCACAGCTAGTTTAGCCGAGCCATGGGGAGTGGGGGACTCAGCACTCAGAGCCCTGTCCTCTGGTCAGGGAATGTGGGAATTTAACCTATCGTGTGAGAATTCAACTTAGCTGGCAGCTACCCCTAAGCAAATGGATACAGAGCTGGCATGAAACTGAAGAGGGCTTGCAGCCCTGTGTCTGTCAAGAGAGTGAGGCCAGGACCCTTGCAGACCCCCTTACCCAGAAGCTTGATGCCAGGCACCATGTGCACCCAGCTTGGCACTTGCTGGGGGGACAGTGCCTAGTGACCAGAGCAATCCAGAGCAAGAACAGGGAAGCCTCTCCCAACACTCCCCAGTCACACTTTTTACCCAGAGTGGACATAATTTCTAGAGCCCCTTGATACTGAGAGGAATTGGTTTGGAGCAGATTAGGGCGGTAGGTAATGAAGCCACATCCCCCAAGGGCAAAGTGAGGGAACTGACTACACATATGGGGGTGATGATAAGACACACTCAGGTGGGGCAGCCCCTGTGTCCTATGTAAGGACCAAGCAGCTCTGGGTTGTTGCAACCCACCAGCATGGTGCAAGGAGACAGGCTCAGGCTCTCCACCCACCCTCCCATTCCAGAAGGAAGGAGGGAGGGAGGGAAGCAGGAGTGAGGGAGTGAGGGAGGATAGATGAATGAATAAAAAAGAAGAAAGTGTTTGGCTCACACTGAGCCAGGTCATTTCTTCCCAAGCCTAGACTTGAATGGCCTAAGCCAGATGCAGTCTACTGACTGAAGCTTCTCAGGGTGGTGGGGGTGGCAGAGGGCTGGCCTACAAGGGAGAGGAGAGCTCAGGCAGGCTGTCCTGGGAGGAAGGAAGGACACTGGGACATCTTGCTCTGATCATTTCTGAGTGTGCGCCCCACCCTGCCCTCCATCACATGCTGGCCACCTGGCCTCCATCCTTTCCCTGACTCAGCCCCAGTGCCGCCACCAACACTGTCACTTGCACCTTCATCTTCAAGCCTGTGTACTTAGCTCTGGCTCCACTATTTGGGACTTGTGTATGTGAATATGCATGTGTGATGTGTGTGTCATTTGCATTTGCATGTGTGTACATGCATGTACATCTGACTGTATATGTGAATGAATGTGTGCCTATGAGCATGTGCAGATGTGGGTATATTGCATGGGTGTGCATGTAAGTGTACTGTGTGTTTATATAGGTATGAGTGTAGACATGTGAGTATGTGGGGGAACATGAATATAATGCAATGTGTGTGTGTGCATGTATTGTGCATGTGTTGAATGATGTGCATGAGTGTATGTGCAAATATATATGCATGTGTGGGGAGCATGAGTGTGATTACATGTGTGTGTGGATTTATACATGTGCATACATTTGTGTGCATGTATATGAGTGAATGCATGTGTTTGAGTGTGCTTGAAAATGCCAGTGTAAGTATATGCTGAGTGTGAATGTGGAGGAGGTACTCATACATGAGTGTATGCCTGCACAATAGGGCAGTAAGTGAAAGACCCTGGGATCTGGTGTTGGTCCCTAGTTTGGCTCTGCTCCATTCTCCAGGCCAACGCTGAGCAGAGAACGTGCTTCCTGGGGCAGCTGTGGCTGCAGCTGATAGAGCTCAGCCTCCCTGGTGCCCTCTTGCCTTGCACTTCTGGTGGCCTGTGGCATGATCTGGCTGCCTGGGCTTCGGTCCGGAAACCATCCCCTCCTCCCCTGGCTCAGCCTGTGCTGGCTGGCTTCTGGCGTGGGGCAGTCCCATCTGGTGTGGGTTGTAGGTAGGTCAGGCATCTCTGGATGGTACCGGGTTTGTGCTGCAGTGGGGGTGGTATGAGATTGGTGTTTTGGGGTCAAGGAAGGCTCATACATTTCCTTCTGGTGCTGGCCCTTCCTGGGAGGTAGTGAGACTTGGAAGGCTCTGAGGCTTCCCCAGGGGTGTGGAGCAAGGTGAGCTGACTGCCTCCAGACAGAAGGGAACACAGAGCAGCTGGTTCTGGCCCTGAGCCTGAGAATTGTCCACCTGCCCATCAGCTACATGTATCCTGACCTGCTGCACCCATACTGTATGCAGCTTGTCATGGGTAATTCCAAGGGCAGAGGGTGAACAGGGGGTCAGGAAGTTCTGGCTGAAACTCCAGCTGTAGAGATGTAGCTATCTCACCTGCCTCACTGAGTCCCTGTTCCCTTATATGATCACCAAAGAAACAGAAACAAAATGCCATTGGAGCCAGCACATGTAAACATGGCAGCAGCTGGCAGGTAAACAGGTGTGAAATAAGTGCTACATCTCTGTCTTGCCCTGTCTGTTCATATGTCCACCAGCCACCCCACAGCCCTCCACCAACTGGGCCAGCACCACTCCATGCAGACTAGGCCTGCATCACAGAGACCGGAGCCTCACTTCGCTTAGCCCTTTGGAAAGGGTGGGATATGAAAATAAACTCTCTATTCATGCACTCCGCCTCATAATAACCGTGGCATTATGCTCTGTTGGCTTTTGTATATGCATGTTTTCCACTCCGTCCTTTCTGAGAAGCAACATCATCCATCCACAGCCATCCATCTCCCCATCCATCTATCTATCCACCACCGTCCCACTCTTACATGGTCATGTGATGTAAGGTGGGATATCATGAGGCCTGAGCTAAGGCAAAGATGGAGGACAGTAGATGCAGCCAGGAGGTAATAGCTACTTAACTTGAGCCCAAGAGACTGGGAGACTCCCCAGTGGCAGAGAAACCAAATGGAATAGATTCAGAGCGAGGATGCTCTGTTGGTTTTTATATATGCATGTCTTCTACTCCCTCCTTTCTGAGAAAGCTTTCTTGTGAGCTGGATAGTGTCCAGATTTTCATCTTGTTTAAGATGCCTGAAAACTCCTTTGCATCCCTTTCCTGGCCTCACCAAACACTCTCCTGCCTGTGTCATTCTGGAAACACCATAAGTAATGTTCTTATGTAGGTTTACATAAGCTCTTTCCTCAGCTGGGGGAATTTGTAAGATTGAAGTCTCACAAACCTCAGGACACCCTTGCCCACATCTGCCTACTTCCACCCCAACCATCCTTTCATTTTGGTGTCGTCAGCATCCAAAACGAAGTTGATTAACATAGGAGTCAGAGAATGTTGGTTATATGGGAGGATGGACAGAGGGCCTGTGGCAAGCTGGCATAAATATCCTCAGTGCCTCAGAAAGGAAATACTTGTGGATGAGTGAGGCTCAGGGGCAGGAGACTTCTGGGAAGAGGACGCATTTTTCTGGGTCTTAAAAGAGTGGGTGAGGGGAAAGGCATTCCAGAGAGAATGACATGGAGGTTGGGGCTTTGGGAATCAGTAAGAGCTCTGCCCTTATAGGGTGTGGAAGATAATCCCGAATAGGCAGGCAGAAGCCCTATAGCGAAGGATCTGGTTTCCACCATGGAGACCATTGAAGAAGAAGATGTGATCATGCTGTACCATGAAGAGCAGTGTGGAGGAAGGGGATGAGGAAAGCCTAAAGGCAGTTATGTTGCCAGTATGGAGGTCCAGGTGGGATATCATGAGGCCTGAGCTAAGGCAAAGAGGGGGACAGTACATGCAGCCAGGAGGTAATAGCTACTTAACTTGAGCCCAAGAGACTGGGAGACTCCCCAGTGACAAAGAAACCAGATGGAATAGATTCAGAGGGAGGATGCTCTGTTGGCTTTTGTATATGCATGTCTTCCACTCCCTCCTTTCTGAGAAGCAACATCATCCATCCACAACCACCCATCTCCCCATCCATCTGTCTATCCACCACCGTCCCACTCTTACATGGTCATGTGATGTTTCGGTCAACAGAGGACCACACATACACTGGCAGTTCCATTAAAATGACGTCAGCTAATGATATCATCGCCATTTCAGATTGTGTGAGTGCACTCTAATGTTAGCACAATGATGAAGTCACCTAAAGATGCATGTCTCAGAACGTTTCCCTGTCACTAAGTGACATGTGACTGATTCCTTCATTCCTCTCAATCCTCCAGATAACCTCCCGACCCTCTATTTGACCTTTCATGCTTCCTCCTCCCTCTCCTGATCTCCTGTTCTGCTCCCACCTACCATGTGCATAAATCCAATGAGCTATTCCTTTAACATCATTCTCCCAGTGAGTTTCCTACTTTCCTATCAATCCTCCCTATCAATATGTTTGATCATTCACCCATCTTGGGCCCAATGCATGGATGCTTCTACTTCAAGTCATCCCTCTTCATCCTTCCCCTTGCCTCTCTAGGTGATCCACATCTGTCCATCCATCCATCTGTCCATCCATCTGTCCATCTGTCCATCCATCCATCCATCCACCCATCCATCCATTTCCAGCCAGCCAGCCAAGTGCCTTTCTTCACACTTGTGTTCACCATTTACCTTTCAACTCCCAGGGTAACTCACCCATTATCATGTTTGTATTTTTCTTCTCTTCTCATCCATCCATTTATCCAACTATTCATGCATCCGTATCTTATTTTTCCTTTTTCTTTTATCCCTTATGTCCACTCTACATGCTGAATTCATTAATTTGTAATATATCCATGCAGCCTCACTATGTCCTTGGTTTCATTCATTGTCCAGTTCACACACCTGTTTTTTTCATCATGAATCCATCCATATAGTTCTGTCTTCCCATCATCTATCTACTTTCCTTCCCTCCTGGTGTCCCTTGCTTCTCCCCCTCTCCCTGAATACCATCCATCAATATACAAAATCATTCATCTGCATCCCGCACACCCA